TAAACACTTGCAAAAGAAAAAAATAAAACTAAAAAACTAAAACTCTCTCCCGTTGCCCTCACGACAATATTTACATAAAATAAAATAATTTTTCTCAAAGTTTTTTATTACCTTTTCTTTTATTTTTATCCTTCCTATTTTTATCTAGGCCTATGGCCTCTTCTCACGACTTCTCAACTTTGAGTTGGGATGAAGTTCTTTCTAAACTTCGCGAAGTTGAGGACCTTTGCGCTAAGTGCGCCCTTAAACAAGAAGCTCTTTTTGCTCGTTTCAACTCTCTTCCTGACAACTCTTCTGCCAAGTCACGTGCTTACCTCGCTTTTGGCCCCTCCGCCTACTAGACGACTCTCTTTCTGAACAAAAACGCCTTTTACACTTGCGTTTGACCTCTCTTTCGTCTACTGCGGATTCAAAAAAGGATTTCGCTATCCCCCTGTTGACGATCATCCATCACATGATGATCCAATGAATGATGATCCACCTCCTCTTCCATTAGCTATTTGGGCTTCTAAACACGAGGCTGATCCTAATATCATCTTAGATTTATGTACCCCTTCTATGCGATACACCAATAGTTTACGCCCTCCACGGCGTACTCCTAAATTTCTTTGTAAACACGTATCCTCTATGATTTCCCCTGCATCCTTTAAGCGCACACAGAAAATTAAGACAAAATTGTCTTTTGCGCGTTTGGTTTTATCCCCTTCTACAATACGTTTATTAGTTCCACCTTTATCACGTCCTTCCCAACCTAAAAGTCCCTTTCAAAATAAATTCCTAGACTCCTCTCTCATAACTCCCCATATTTCAGCTCTAGTAGATACCGCTGATAATGACAATAACGTTCCTCCTCCGGTCCTTTCTCTAACTAGTATACCTGCGGGATCTTCACCTGCAACTTCTGCTTCAGCCCTCCTTCATGATAATGCACAGTGTTTATCTTACACTTTCACAATACGTACCATCCTGGATGGATGGATACGTCCTGCTCGAAATATTGGCTTTAATCGTTTATATTCTATTTGACAAGGCAACTGTTACTTCCTTTTGGACTCCACTCCTGATTCGGATAATTGTTATTCGATTCATACCAATTCTCCTCTCCTTTCAACTACTAAGCCATTTGAATTTACATCTGATCGTCCTTCTCCTAATTTGAAATTTATTTTATCAAAATTTTTAACCTTTTTCTTTTACCGACAAAACCGTATTCCCTCGTATGCTCGACGTAAATATTTTAATAGGTTACGCCAGCTTTTATTAACACAACGTGTTACCTCTCTTGCCCGTTGGTCATTTTCTCATCGTAATAATAGACGTACTCGTACCTTTATTCAATTTCGATATCATCAATCTTGCTTTTACCTTGACCTTTATTTTGGTTGCCCGTTTTGCAAGACTCCTGCTGCCTATGTTATGTCTCGCTTTTGTCATGCTTGTCATATTCATGACAAAAAACTTGTTCACACTTCTCCTCCTCCTCCTTCTCCTCCTTTCACTTTACCTTGTAACCGTGTGTCTAAAAGACACGCTGATGGTTTTTATAAAGATGTAACTTCCCGACGTCTAGGACTTTCCTACCGCAAATCTTATGCTTTTCATCATGTTTTTAAGGATGACAGTGGTACACTTTTAGCACGAACTCTTATCTCATACTCTACTCACAAATCCATTTCCCACCCTTCGAAGAAACAACTTGCCCGTTAAGAACGCCATAAAGACCTTTTATCAGACCAGAGCAAATTTTCACGACATGTTATTCAGCTTGATCTTCTTGACTCTTCCATGTGGATGGCCACTAAGAATCATGCTATAGTCATTCCTCCTACCTCCTATCATTTGACTATGTCTACTACTGATTACTCAATTGTCCAGAATATACGTAATCTCGTATCTAAGCGCCCTGATGTTTCCTTCTGTTTGAACGAACGTTCACATCACTCTTCAGTTGCGTTTATATCTTCTAAATTTACAGGTTCTATCCAAAAAGTGGTTTTGAATCCCTCTTCTGTAGTTGGAAGTCATTTTATTACTGACAAACCCACCTCTGGTCCTTTTGTTGGTCTGAACTGCCCTGTTATTGATTATCAAGATTTTAAAACTTTTGGCTTTAGTCGTTCCATTATTGATATAGTCTGAAGGATACTCTCGAATAGTGCTTCCATTTATGTACATTCTCACAATTTCCTCTGGTTATTAATTTCCAAGCACAACACTTTCTCGGTATCGAAGAAGTATCTTCGAGATGCCATCCAATCTATTATCACCAAATCGGCTTCCTCTTCGACATTTTCACATCTTTGGAATAGTGATACACAGTTTTCTTTCAAACTAGGTCGTGTTAAACCTTGTGATATCTTAATGTTATTGGATGTTTGTGCACCTTGGTTTGATACACATCCTTACCCTGCTCCTTCTGATTTTCGAACACTGTGGGATTTACCTGCTGATTTTGTTCACCCTGTTTTTTTAATGCGCTAATTGCGCTCTCTTATACACATCTAGATGTGTATAAGAGACAGGCTGTTACCTGAGGAATTAAGTACTCGGTATAATAGTTGCCCATTGAAGATGATAGGACACAGACCCGAGATTAGTCTCATAAGAGGCAATGGGTGGTCTGGCCGTAAACACTTGCAAAAGAAAAAAATAAAACTAAAAAACTAAAACTCTCTCCCGTTGCCCTCACGACAATATTTACATAAAATAAAATAATTTTTCTCAAAGTTTTTTATTACCTTTTCTTTTATTTTTATCCTTCCTATTTTTATCTAGGCCTATGGCCTCTTCTCACGACTTCTCAACTTTGAGTTGGGATGAAGTTCTTTCTAAACTTCGCGAAGTTGAGGACCTTTGCGCTAAGTGCGCCCTTAAACAAGAAGCTCTTTTTGCTCGTTTCAACTCTCTTCCTGACAACTCTTCTGCCAAGTCACGTGCTTACCTCGCTTTTGGCCCCTCCGCCTACTAGACGACTCTCTTTCTGAACAAAAACGCCTTTTACACTTGCGTTTGACCTCTCTTTCGTCTACTGCGGATTCAAAAAAGGATTTCGCTATCCCCCTGTTGACGATCATCCATCACATGATGATCCAATGAATGATGATCCACCTCCTCTTCCATTAGCTATTTGGGCTTCTAAACACGAGGCTGATCCTAATATCATCTTAGATTTATGTACCCC